CAACGCAGAGCAGCAGCGTAGTTTGTGTGCACGCAGCACCCAAGCTAGAATTGCAGAGGGGTCAGGAGGGAACTGGACTGTCCTAGAAAATGCAGCACTTCCCCACATCCTCATACAGGGGCCAAATGTGGGGCTGGGACCATCTCTCTCTCTCTCCCCTTCTTTCATTCTCTCTTTCCTTTTTGTCTCTTATTTTTGTCACAGTTTAGTTATTTCCATGGAGTTTGAGTCAGTTTTTCTCAGGAAAATGTTCTGTCATACTTTAATGCACACACATAGACAGCCTGGATTCTGGCACCTCAATCATGTGTTTGTCTCTTCAATTTCCAAAAATAAAAAACCCAGCAACTTTGAATCTGTGTGATATATATACATAGAAACATATGTACAAGTGTGTGTACGTGCACATGGTTTTGCTCCAAAGCAAACAGAATGAGGGAGGCCATATGGTTCATTCTGCTGTAGCTTTTACCTCATCCCCAGTAAAAATGAAGGGTGGGATTCAGCTTTCCCAACTCAGTCATCAGAAAGCTGGGCACTGCAGCTAATCCCTCTTTCTAGGCAGAAGAAGACACCTCCAGAGAGTAATCCATCCCATCTGTTTTGGATAGCTTTTAGGATGGGCTGAGTCACTGCCTGGAAGTGCCTGTCTCCCAGTATTGCCTCCAAGAGGCTGAGTAGCTCAGCTATAGAGAAGGTGGGACTCATCTCAAGACCTAATCCTGCCCAGTCCTGAGCATGATAGCACTTACTGGAGCAAAGAGGAGCTGAACTGCCTCTCCACTTCTTCCAGAGTGCTCTGAATTGCATGGCTCAATCCATGAGTTTCCATCTCTCCTCCCAGCCCATAAGGACCTCCAGGTTTACCCAAAGACTTCAGTCTTTACAGCGTGGCAACATGCACTTTGCTGCCAATATCCCTCACCCTTAAATGGGCTGCAAGAGAGACGTGACTTCCCTCTGGAGGGCTGGATATGATTCAGGAGCTGGCAGACAAAAGTGACTTTAAATAAGGAGAATATCCTGGTTAAAAGTGCACTGCTTGAAATCCTTAAGTAGGCAGCTATGACTGAGTGCTCTTGGTGCCCAGCCCTCTCTCCAGTCTCCACCAGCCCTCAGGCAAGGATTTGCAAAGCTCTTAGTTCAGAGAGTGTCTGGCAGCGACTTCAGTCAGGACATGGCAGCAGGTTTCTCATTCTGGCCTTGTAAGGCCACAGCTGGAACTTCTCCTGGCTCTGAGGAGCCAAGGGCTGAGGCTGCTGTGGGATTCCCAAGCTGCTCCGCTGCTGCCGAAGGGGTCTTTGCACTTCCACTCCTGCCTGGCCCCACTGAGTCATTGCACTGAAACTCATGCCAGAAGCCTCTCCTGCCAGGCAGAAAATTAACCATTTCTTCCCTGGTGAGAGCCAGATTGTTCCTCCACAGCTGTGCATATGACACTGATTCATTTTGGGGATGAGCTGGGCACAGATCTAACCCACTTGCCCAGTTTAAGGGTCCAGGGCCCTTGTGCCAGGTGCTGTAAGGTGAAACACTTCTCCCAACATGTGTTACTGGGTAGATATATTTTTGTGTGGAGGGTGGAGCAAAGATTAAAGGAGAGGATATCAGGAAGCAACAATACAGAACAGCTGAAAAAAGAAATCAATTTTTGCCAGTTGTGAATGATTTGTAGTTGTCAGAGACAAGTTTTAAATCAAAATTGAAAAGATGATAACTCGGTGGAGGAAGATTCCTCCATTTCCCCCCAATTAGCATGGATGAAATTGAGCTAAAAGGTGGAGACTGAATCACCACTCCAGTGCATTTGAGTCAAGAAGCTGTGCTGGTGAATGAGCTGTCAGCACAGCTGGAACCTAGGGCCTGAAACAGCCACCTACCTCCAGGGCTACAAAATACCACTCCCTGAATACAGGGCAGAACAATCATGGTCTACAGTGGGGAAATGAGGAAAAGATAAAGACCCATAGGCAGATAGCATCTTCTCAAGCCTACAAGGTCAAAGAGAAGCCAGCTTCCAGCCACCACTCTGGTCTTTGTTGTCACCTCCACACCAATACCTAGACATGCAACACAACTGCTGCTCTTCTGGTTCATTCTTGCATCACGGCCAAGATGATTTGAGGCTGTACAACCCCCAGAAATAGCAGGGAAGAGAACTCCTTCCCTCAGCTACACTCCAGTTCAGCTGTGACTTGTCACCTTTGTACCTGGCCCTTGGGGCTAGCTCTGACAGACTCCACTTAGCTTAAACACTGGTGGAACAAAGCATGGGAAGAGATGCTGCCATGGGAGAGCTGAGAGCCTTCAGCCCTTTCTTAGGTCAAAGAGCTGCCTCAAAGACATCTGGGATGATGTCAGACCAGCTGGGCACCTTTTAGGAGGAATGGGAGTCCCGGTGACATTTCTCC